TGCCCGGCCATTTTTTGGTTGCAGCCGTCATTGTTGCTTGGCGGGCCCGGGCTGGGGATTCGAACCCGCCACCTTAGGTGTATGTGGCTGGCGCCACTTGAGCCACAGGCGCCGAGCCATGTGTGTTTTTGTGAGGGGCACTGTCCTCAGAGTGCTTTGGACATGGTGAGCCTGATGCTGGGTGGGAGGGTGAGATGCGTACTGTTCCCGGGGAAGGGTGAAGGAGGCAAGAAGAAAGGAGAGAGGGGCTGCCATAAGATTTTAAAACTAAAGCAGTGTGAGTTCAGGAAGGCCAGGGTGACCTGCAGCATCTTGAGTTTTCCAAATGAAGCCTCATTCCTATACAGTCCTTGCCTTCTGTGCTTCCTCACTGCTGCTGTTTCTAGATTCTTTTTTCCCAAGGTGAATAACATTAAATCAAGAACAACCAAGAAATGTATTTTGAGAGAGATCTAGAAAAACATTAAATAGTGACCTGTACCATGCAGTGGTTTACTAGGGGTCTGACGAGCTTCCTCTGACTGCAAGTTACCTTCCCCTATTTATATGTCCCAGGACATACAGTTCCCTTTTGTAGAGCAGAGGAAGCCTGGAAAAGACCATTAAAAGGAGGGAAGATTTGGGATCCTTATGAAAATGACACAGGCTGGGGCTGCTTAGGGAGGAGGAAGAAGGCTAAGGGCACATTACACTCCCTGACACCTGCTCTACTCTCTGTAAACACTACTTATTCTACAGTTCTCCTGGACAAGTGGGTTTCTTTCTTTTTTTTTTTTTGAGACAGACTCTCAAGCTGTTGCCCTGGGTAGAGTGCAGTGACATCACAGCTCACAGCAACCTCAGACTCTTGGGTTCAAGCAATTCTCTTGCCTCAGCCTCCCAAGTAGCTGGGACTACAGGTGTCCGCCACAACACTTGGATATTTTTTTGTTGCCATTGTTTTAGCTAGCCCAGGCTGGGTTTGAACCCGCCAGCCTTGGTGTATGTGGCCAGCAGCCTGCCCACTGAGCTATGGGCGCTGCTGTGTCTCTTTTTTTTAAAATCACCACTTATTAATGAGGGGACTGGGAATGGGGGAATAGTGACATTCCCAAGGCCACACTGCTTGTCTGTGGAGGGAGCCTGTCGGACTGTAGGTCCCAGCCTTGTACCTTTGGGGTGACTACTTATATGCATGAAATCTCAGGATTCACTGCTAATATGGGCTAGCCTGTGTTGCACTGTCTTTCCTCAACTCTGAAGCAAGGAAGAAAGTTGAAGCCTTTTAAGAAGAGAAACTTAACCCAGAGGCTGTCATTTCCTCAAAGGGGTACCATGGCAGCTGCATTAGGCTGTTTTAGGGCCTTTTAAGCAGTGGGTGGGAATGCAGGAAGAGAATGGGACCGGTGAGTTCACTTTCTCAGTAGTTCATAAGAGAGAAGTAGCCTCTATGCAGAAAGGAGACCAATGCCCTGGTTTTTTCTGTGGCCCTCAGGGAGTGGCAGATGGAGAGAGCCTTCCAGACTGCGCTGTGGCTGCTGCAGCCAGAAGTTGTCTTCATTCTGGGGGACATCTTTGATGAAGGCAAGTGGAGTTCTCCCAAGGTAGGATCTTGCAATCGGGCACCCTAATCCTGCTTTCAGAATCCAATACAAGCATCCCAGAGAATCCAGTGTTGGCTCAAGGGGGAATTTTCCTTAGTATTGAAATTAAAAATGTATATTCTGTCTTGAAGATTCTAAGGATTTGTGTGTAATGCTAATCTTGACTTATGTCAGCTAAACTTGTATTTGTCTATATAGAGAATACATAGCTCAGCCAGACATCATTTTGTGGAAATGCACTGCCCTGTGAACCCCTTGGGAAAGGGAAAAACAGGCAAAATGTATGCAATTTCACTTGTCTCCAAAATGACAGAATACTTGCTGAAATGTACATTCAGATTCACTGTGCTGTTTCCTCACTAGGCTCTGAGGATACTTGCTACTCTGCTCTGATTTTCCTTCTTCTGAGAGGTTGAGAAGGAGCCGTGGGCAAGTTGTGAGGTTCCTCTGCCTTCGGGGGGCTTGAGACCCCTGCTTAGGTGTTGGGGTGGTTGGGGTATTGTAAGCCTTGTCACAAGCCAAAGAGAAAGGATGAATTTTAAAAAGAGCTCTTCTTGCTGCTTAGTTAACAATGTTGCATCATAGCTTGGTGCCCGTAGCTCAGTGGGTAGGGAGTGTGCTGGCCACATACACTGAAGCTGGCGGGTTTGAACC